TATATATATATATATAATTGCATGCTAATCCTATGTGATCTGATTTTATGATCGTGTTTTACTCTTTAAAAATTGTTTGGTCTCGGTGATAGCTACCTTCATATATCTACTAGCTATGTAATCAATTATCATAAATTTATTTAAACGTTATTAAACTATAAACTTCCGCGTAATTCTGTTGAAAGCAAGTATAGACTAGGGCTCTTGTTGAATAGGATGTTTGGTGGAAGTGGAATATGGTTCAAACCGCCAAGGATAGGAATGATTAGAGTCACTGATTATTGTTATGAGGACGGAAAAAAAGTCGGGGACGGATAATGGGAAATGGGCCCTTGAAATTGTCCGATCCCAGCAACACTAGTTCAAATCATGTTTGTTAAATTAGAGGAATGATTAGAGTCACTGATCGTAATTTGCGTTATGATATATAAGGCTAATTAATGATCGTTGGCGTTGACATTATATGCTGTGCTTGTAAAGATTTTAACTAAGACATTTGTATACATCTGTTATTTATGATTATGATGTTCTTTTGTCATCTTCATCATCATTTGTCATTACGTACTCGTTGATAGATTCATTCGTATTATATAATTTAATATAATACAGTAATTGACGTTATTGTTATGGATGTATGTATATGAGACTGTGGTATTGGTGATGATGGTTTAATGAGGATGATGAATGTGAGTAAGGAAAGGAATATCAGGCAAATATGATGGGCAAGAAAGAGGACAAATTAAATAATTTGATGGATTGATGATAATGAGATGAGATGAGCTAGCTGGGATGATGATGAAGTGAATTGAAGTTAATAAGTGGATTTGTTTTATTTGATCATCTGATTTGACTCCGAACATGAACAACAACTCATTACGAACAGCTTATAAGTATACAATTGAAATAAGTAGATCATCTTATTGATGCTTCACAAATGAGATTACTTTTGTGGAATATTCATTCATTCGATATCTATCGATATACAGTTAATAATCATAGTGTATGTGAATATATAAAGAAAAGAATAATAGGAATGAAGTGCGATGTATGCATGATTTTAGATGGTTGATTTAGATAATAATTAGATAAATTTACTTATTTGTTGGTTGGTTGACGTATAGATAGATAACCAACTAGTAACCATTCATCCAGAAGTACAGCAATTAGAGTGGAGGCAGGGGGAGGTACTTAGGGTCCAACAAATGGACGAACGGATAGCACGCAATTGGATTAAGGAAGATTCAGTTCACTTAAGTCCTAATAAATCATGTTGTATGCAATCGAGACTGAACTGTAGAAAGAGCTTAACTTCGATTACAAGCTTACTTACAGGAGGTCTGAACATAAGGTGAGGCTGACTTTGGAAGAGTTTGCAAAATATAAGAAATAAGTGAATGAAGGAACGAGTTACGGAGAGTGTTAGTTAGTTGATTGATTTTGAGAAAATTTTTTGGGCTGTTTGAGAACATAGTTCAGAATTTTTGTGGGTTATGTGATGGATATACAGGATGTGTTATTGCTTGATGTTAATATTTATGGTATTATTGGTATGCGTAGTTTATATTTACATGTATGCTCACTCGAATAGTGTATGTCCGATTGTGTGAGTGGATATGAAAGGGAGCGAAATATATACTTTAATGATGATGATTCTTTATGGATTGAAGCGCATAAATCTAATCATTATGCCGAGTAATAATGCTAATCTATAATTGACTATGAGTGCTCATTATTATTATCATTATAATTATTGTTATCGTTACCGTCTAGTGCTTGATGCCAGTTAATTGTTTATTTATTAGAATTGGTTTGTTCATATTACTGGTATAATTCGTGTATGCAGCTATACTTGCTTATGTTTTGAGTACACCGCAGTCCTGATTAATTAGCAGTTATTTAAATTCATAGTTGCCAACGAAGTGACGCAATTTAGCATCGTTCATTTATCGATGCCCATCGATTTTGTAATTGAATGATACCAAACATCTTGCAAGTAATCAAACATCTTATAAGCCATCCATCCATGTTGTTCTCTGCATGCCTCCTTTTATCCGTTCTTGATGGCTGTTCTGCTTTGGATTATTTATTCCTCGCTTGTCGTTCACCCATTTGTTGGATCTTGCAGTTCGGTCATCCTTATTAGTCATCGTTGTTGCTGTTGTTCATTCGTTCCATTTCTAGTTTAACGATCAAGTCAATTCAATGATTTTATGTTCGTATCCGGTCTGAATTTAGATCTGAACTCACGTCTTATACAAAGTATTGCTAATCTGGGTAGGTGGTTTTATCGCACAGTAAGGCGAGGAACGTTTGGGATGTTAAAATGGCTCTCTGTTAGCAGTGGATGGTCATTCAGTCCATACTGTATTAAACTATCTATCCATCCATCCATCACACAGTAAATCAGTCAGTTAATTAATCAATCAGTCTCTTAATGATAGTTTTTATTATCGAATCAAGATTGAGTTTTGATGACTGAGGATTGCCGACAGATGAGGAATTCGTATAATTGCAACACTAGTGGATCGTTCATTTCATAGCGAGAGCGTTGATTACGAAGCGCTGTTGTTTCAGATGAATTGTTATTGTTATCATGAATAGTTGTCAATATATAATAGTATGAAATTATATGTTGGTTTGGGTATAGTGGAGAGTCGGAAGTTTATGCATAGTATTTGTAGTAGTAATGGTAGAAGTGTGATTTGATTGTATGTTTTGATTATTCTTAAATTTGATACTTTAATCCAAACAAATTATATTGTATTACGAATGTCGAATTGAATAGGATAAATGGATAGTAAAATGTGAATTACAGAATAATGGTAATAGTCAATTTTAGTTTATTAAATGTTAGAATATGATATTCATTTTAATAATATATTATATAACATTGATAAAACGTTGTATATGTGCCATATTTCTTTGGTCAGTGTTGTATCATATTTCTTGGCCAATTATTATAAGAGACGGTCGAGCTGTGGGTATGGATGCTTTTTCAAGTGTGGATTTCATAGCGGGCATTTGAAGTTGAATAGGATGACTTCGATGGAATAATTTATCAGTTTCGTGATGATGTTAATGTTATTTGATTTTTTTGTTAATGTTGTGCTGAATTATTAAAATTTCACAATTTCATTCTTTATGAAAATTTGATCGATTAATTTATTATGTAGACAATAACGGCTCTTTTTTTTGTTTCAAAATTTGAAGTTTAAAAATTTTTTTTCTTCACATTATTCATCAATTATTCACCATCATTCCATTTCGTCGTTCACAACGTTAGCTGATTAACCTATAAATCATCTTCTATAAGTCAGCATCATCGTTATAGTACCACTGTTCTCTTGCGATTATTGCTATTGTGTAAGCTTTTGTTGTTACAGAGGAAAGATTTGCAGTTGGTACTGTGAAATGATAACGATAACGATAATGATGTAGTTTGTGGAGTTGTTGCGAAATTTTTTCATATAAAAGTCTGAGCCTAAGAATTACATGAATACTAAATATGAAACAGATCGATCAGTTGTTGTAAGCAACCATTGCTTCCCCCCCCCCCCCCCCCTCCCAGTGTGATATTGATTTACTGAACGAGAATTTCTTTCGGACTTTTTTCTACTAAAATGATAAAGTGTTCATTCCCTATTGTTGCCCCGTGTTGAATAACTATGTGAAATCTTAAATGAATATTTTACGCCTTAAATAATACTGATGATTATCATCGCTGTTTTCGTTGTTATCGTTATTTTTATTCTTATTATTGTTCTGATTGAAATTATGCTTATGAGTGTATTAATATGAATATTAGTAACACTACTGTAAATAGGGGTGAGACGGAAACGATATTGAACACAATAGTCAGCAGGATGGGTAGTGGTTGGCTGGCGATGAAAATTAACAACAATGCATTGGTAGTGGTGTTAATGATGGCAGTGATTTACAACTTTTATGTATCTGCTGGAATCACCACAACGGGACGAGAGTTTAGTGTGAACGAAGGCAACAGTGTGGAACTTCCTTGCAATGTCAAGGACTTAGGTGAGTTTCTATTTGTTTTAGCACTATTCTATTGATCATTATTATTGTTATTATTATTATTTGTTTTTATTGTTATTGTGGTTGTTGTTTTAATTGAAGATGATGATACTGTTGTAATATGGAAGCGCGGTGAAGAAATAATATTCACGGATGAATATAGTACGATAGAAGATGCGCGATTTCAACTCAATCATGAGAATGATGTCAGTTTTATGTTTTATCAGATATTCATTAACGATAAGTATTATTTACGAATGTCATTGTCGTTGCTTATAGAATTTTACACTTATAATCGATCGCGTTGAGCCGTATGATACAGCCGCATATATTTGCTCAATAACATCACCAGAGCAATCGATCACACATCATTTACAAGTGAACGGTGTGTCTACCATTGTTTTATTGTTTATTTTGCAATTAATCAGTTGATTCGTATAACTCATTCGTTTGTTTATTGCAGTCCCGCCGTCAATTTTAATATCACCAGATTCAAATCCGTTGTTGGTTGGAGTTGATGATGAAAATGTTATAATCAAATGTACGGCTTCCGGTAATCCAGCGCCTAAAGTGTCATGGTCAAAGAAAGTTCGTTGTTACTATTTATTACTTTAATTATGATTATTTGATAGTTTGATTAATGTGGACTGAACAAATGAATTCAAGAATGGTAAATTGCGAGCCAACTCGATTTCAAAAGATGGACAGTTACGTTTGATGAAAGTGACCCCAGAGGACTCGGGTATCTACGAATGTGCTGCTTCGAATGGCGTTGGCGCAGATGCACATGATACGATCGAAGTTCGAGTGCAGTGTAAGTTTGTTCGTTTGAATTTGTCTGTTTAATGTTTGTAAAATTGATTAAATGTGTTTTTATCGTTACTGTTGCATGTAAATGAAGTGAGATGAGTGTTCAAATTAATATTCATTTGATGTTGAAATGATTATTAATAGTGCTTTAATGATTAATAATAATGCTAACAACAGGTTGATGATTAACTTTGTATAATTTGCATATGTTCTCTCTCATTATTTCTACCGTTTGAATGTCATTGGTTTGTTATAACAAAATTTCAGCTGGTCAAACAGATGCACATGAGCCGTGTAAGTTTTATTTTTGAGATGCTTTGAAGCACTTTTGCATCACAAATATTCACTTGACGAATAATAATCGGTAAAATGAATCAAGCGGATATTTTGAAGGGAAATGATATTTTCTATTATATCGATACTAACAGTAGTAATAAAAGTGGTATTTCACTAATCGTCATTATTATTAATAATTTCTGATTGTCTAACTGAATGATTTTTCTTTTTTTGCATCGTTACCGTTTGCATGCACAGTGCACCGACGAGCAGCTGTCGTCTGCATATTTTCATTATTGTATGAAAGCTGCAGTAGTGTTGCTTTTCGCATGCTTGTGTCCTTAATAATAGTATAATTGTTATAATTGGAGTGTGTATAATAATACTAATGGCGTTAAAAGTTAAACGAATTAATGGATTAAGTATGTATCGCAACAGTCTTTTGAGAAGTAGAAGATGCAGACGGAAATGAATGCGCATAACTAGTTGCCAGGGTCAAGGCCTTCTTTTCTCGGCTTGTAAAATTGTATGATGGCACTTCGGAAAGTGCGGTAAAGAGTACGGATAAAAGGGAACATAGTTGAATGAGACGAACTTGTGTGAGTAATAAAATAACGATAATAATTATTGTTGTTAATCTTACATTATATTAGGTTGCTGTTGTTGTTATTTTTACATCACCATTTTCACTTGCATATTTATTGCTGTTATTATGAAGGGAAGTGGAAATTTATGGAATCGTGAAGAACGAGTGAAATATTTCAGCGGCACCTTGGGTCGATGCAGACTACAGCTATTTGCCAGTGAGGTTAGATCATGACATCAATGTTACATGCAAGTATAATGCAGAGCCTGCGCCTCAAGTGGATTGGCTTTATAATGCATTCACAATCAACGTAAGTTTACATCTTATTATTAATTTGTCATCATAATTGTTGTTGTTTTGTGATGATACACAAACGAGATTGAAGCAAAAGAGAGGTAAATTGTTTTGCAGTTCTCAGACAATAAGTTCAAGGGAACTGTTCAGTATGGGACAAGACGTGATAATTACAGTGAATCGATATTGGCAATTAAGAATATCAAAGAAGATAATTTTGGTGATTATTCGTGTCGAATATCAAATAACTTAGGCACTGTTGAAAAAACAATTCATATTAGCGGTAAGTGTTGTTGCGTAAAATTTGTGTATTAATCAATTTGTCTTATGCGATTGTTTATAGAATAATACTAATAGTGGTAAGTTATAGGTCGGCCAGGTCCTCCAACACTGAGCGTTTCGGGTAATCAACTCTCATGGACCGTGCAATCTGTTGATCCAATCATAGAATATCAAATTTTATATCGATTTTCGCATGAAGACACCTGGCAACAGTTCAAGTCGATACGAGCCGAAAAAGGTTGGTTTGATTGGCTATGAACGTAGCTTAGTGCTGCTATCATTTTCCTTGTTACAGAAGAACAAAATGGTAATGAGTGGTCAAGGAGTGAGCAGTTGGTCTGGCTTCGGCCAGATACAGACTACGAATTACAGTTGAAGGCGCGCAATACGCTTGGTTGGGGATCGTTGGCACGGCAATATATCACGCTCAGAACACCGTCGAATAATAACGAAACGAATCGTGAGTTTGATAAGTTACAAATAAATAATGAGAAATACGCAGAGAATTGTCTAACAGCTGTTTTGTTTGTTTGTTTGTTTGTTTTTTCGACTGATTCCGGCGGTTTTTTAGTAAAATTTTGGTCTGCTGTATTTTAGTATTCTTTTGAATCCTTTTATATGGTTTTGTTTCTTTCAGAAAAACAACCGTCCTCTGCGTCTTTAGCGACAAGAGGTTCGAGCGAAGCGATATCAACAATAATAGCAGTAATGATGCTAATCTCGTCATGGTATTATCATGGATGATGATGGATTGGAGTGCAAGCAAAATTGGTTACATTCGTTGCACGAGAGCGATCAACGGTGAAAAAATTTGTTGACGTTGACTGATGCATTCGTCGATCATTAATATTATTGGTATCATTATTATCATTGCTAACATAAACCTAATATCAACAACATAGTTTATGAGAACATTGTTATTGTTATTTGTCTTACAATTATAATTATTCTCAACAGCTTTCATTCTGTGATGAATATCATGTAATTTTTCGGATTGCGTTGTTGTTGTTTTGTTTGTTTTTGTTCATCTGCTATCTTTATTTATTTGTTTACTTCCCATCTTTATCTTATTGCAACAGTTTTGATCGTCATTATTCGTTTATGGTACTCTTTATTAATTCATCCATCCATCCATCCTTATTTTCTGCATTTGCTCGCCTTTATGTCTTTCGGGTTGGATATTGTGGATGATCTGAGTGAGTAGACGATAAATTGCTGAGTGAGACTCGCAAATGCTAAAGAATGTCTTTCATAGCTAGACAAATGGCAGTAGGTGTAAAAATTCATAAGATTAGATAGAGAATGGATTTGCTTGCTTGAATGTACGTGAATCTGTAAAATTATTGGTAATGGAACTTAATAGAAGACTATAAAATAGTGATGTGGGTAGGAAGATACATCTGGATGATCTAGTTCTTGAAATTGTAGACGAGCAAGCGAACGGTATTACGAAATTGGTCATTCGTCGATGCAGAGTAGAAAAAACGAATGAAGCCACAAAATAGCAATAGTGCTGAAACTAAGAGCTGTATATTTATTATGTAATCGTAATTGTTATTAGCAATGAATCAGTTCTCAGATATTGCCGCTGAATTGATTCATTGTCGTTGTGATGATAATTGTTCTCAATTTTTGTCTACTTAATACTCACTCGTAACTTTACTCGCCATTTATCTGATACAGTCTCTGTTATATCTTATAGTAACTATAATGTCATCCATTAGTTTGAATTATTGTGTTCGGTTTAGTTTATTTATATCCAAAAAAAGAAGAGGATTTTATTTTCGTGCGAATATTTCGTGCGTTGACACCCGTTTATTTATTCGTTTGTTGAATTTTATTGGCTTGTATGTGTGTGCTTTTTTTCCGATGTCCGCGCGAAAGATTTCAACTTTGCGAACCAATCAACGAACCATTTCACGATAAGTAATCTCACTCATTATAATTATGGTTTATTGCAGGTAATTAACTACTCAATTGTTCAATTGATTACTTAGCTGAATCGTTTATTTGTAATTAACATTATTGTTTCAGTTTATTTCTTTCTGTATTCATTGATCGAAATAATTCTCGCGTTTGTTTGTTCGTGTGTGTGTGTGTGTGTGCATATCTCCATTCTTTTATTTTCCAGATTTGTAAATCTGTTCTTACATTTCTAGTTTTATTAATTTCTTTGTGTCTGCGTTTGAGCATGCATATACGACAAGAGTCATCAAATTCGATAATATTTCACAAATACTTTACAAATTTGATCATATTTATGATGCTGTTATACATATAATGTATTGCCATTAAAATGACATAATAATGCCTATTTTAAAAAATAATAGTGTCACTAATGATAGTAGTACTATGTCTATTTTTACAGTTCAGATCACCGTTATTATTACACAAAAATTTGTCAACATTATGAATATTGTAATTAATACTATGATTAATAATATTCGAATGATATGTCCTAAACAAGGTATATTTGCACTTGCATACTGCATCCTTTTCACATTTCCTAACTAATGGAAATGAGCTCGATCATGTTCGGAATGGGTTACTTATCACTTCGGAATGGGTCACTTCTACGTCGTAACATTTTTTTGATTCGTTTCGAACATTTTGAGTGGGTTCGTGAGCTGGAATTATCTCATTACAAGTTACTTATCCACGTGTACTGATAATATTACACCCATCGAATATGCATCACTTTGCTACATTAAGAAATTTTCGCTGAATAAAGGAGCAAAATTATTGGGCCAGGCTTCATGGAGAAGTCTTATTGTTAGGCAGTACTTATGCAGTCTTGAAAACGTTCATGCTCTGCTTTCTTTCCTTTCTAAAATTTGAACGTGAAACCTGGCCCTCGGCTGTTTGAGGAAAAATGGTGCAAACTTTTCTTCAAAATTTCCATATTTAGACCAAAGAGTACGAGTACGGTAAGTTCGATTTTATTGGGTTGGTGCATAAGTTCGTGCGCTTTTATTGAAATTGTCCACTTTTCGTGTCATACACCAATCGATAGCGGATTATCTGCTCTTCGCAACTGTGTTAGACGGTCTATTGCAGCTTTGTTTCGTCCGGACCTTCAGCGTGATGAAATGAAGTGTCAGGTGAACGAAAAAACGCATTTTCGACAACTGCTAATTTGTGCATTCAATCAGGGCTCAACAGTTGCTTGTGACATTTGTGCCGTATACGGAGATGATGTAGTGCTGGTAAGAACAGCGCAGAAATGGTTTGCGAGGTTCGGGAAGGGCGACTTCGACGTAAAGGGCGGGCGGCGTTCAGGTCAGACGTTGGATCTCGACGAGGGGCTTTGAATGTTCTCATCCGTCAGAATCTGCGTCAAACTGCTTCAGAACGACGAAGCAGTCAATACTGCACTGTACTGCGAGCGACTGAACCGGCTCAACCGGGTTATTCAGGGTAAACGGCCCGATACCGTCAAGATGGTCATCGTGCAGCATGACAACGCGCGCCCCCACACGCAAACTGGTCAGAAAAACGATCGAAGAACATAGATGGGAAATTTTGGTTCATCCACCGTATTCGCCAGACCTCGCTCCATCTGACTACCACCTCTTTCGCTCCCCCTCGGAAAGCTTCAGCGGTGTAGCCATCGACAGCGACCATGCCCTCAAAACGTGGCTAGACGACTTCTTCGCCTCGGAGCCAGCGGACTTCTATCGTCGTGGAATCGACCTGTTGAGACGATGGCAGGAAGTCTTGGAAACCGGGGGAGAATACATTGTCGATTGAGTAGTTGGCCTTTGTGTTTTGAAAACGAAGTGTTAGAAAACTTAGATAAAGCGCACGAACTTATGCACCAACCCAATAACTTGCAGCGCAGATACGTATTTACTTATCTTAA